TAAATGCAAATATAATAATGCATACAAATACAAATAATACCTATACAAATAATATCTATTCTATCTGTTATTGAAAGGATACATTTATGTATTATATTTGTTATAAATTATTTAAGTATTACAGTATATTAGAGAAATTACAAAATTCTACATAGAATTATCTTCATAAGATAATGAAATATTTCGATTAGAATGTCACTGTCACGTGTTACGTTGTTTAATCATTGACATATTCTGTACTATTTGCCAGGACCCAGTCGAAGATTCCGAAAGTGAAGATGCAATTATCGGAAGACTTGAAAATATGCACAAAGAACTTGAAACCAAGTCTAATAAATATGAAGAACTGCAAAAAGAATATGAATCTATGACCGAGGTAAAACAATTGAATRGGAAGAAATACGGTGTAAAATATAGTTGTGCGGACTTAGACTTTTAAGCAGGCATCATTTAGATAGAATCACGGGCTTCCTGTTTTTTTTGTTTTTTTTTGGGGGGGGGGGGGAGAAAAAGAGAATGGGGGCGAGAGAGGGAGGCTCCTCTTGTTGTTTTTTATCCTTTCTCGTCACTAGTCCCTAGCAGACAAGATGACCGTTACAAAGGAAGCCCAAATGAGGAAAAAGAGTTGCCTGGGGAGAAGGCTACTATGAATTACTGATTATATGAATGAATAGTCCACTTCGCGGATAATTCGAAATTTTACATTACGTCGTTATGGTAAATCATTGACATCACTGGAAAGAGCGTCATAAAATCAGCACATTTGCCAAGTTTGAAAATAATCTGATTTAAATTCAAAGAGATRYGGCACTTCAAAAACACTAAATTTTGCATAGAAATGTTTGGCGAGGTTGTAACAAGTCAAGGTCAACCTCGATCTCATGCCGACAGCCATACATTCCTTTGTAAATTTTGCCGACTTTTAAACGCTGTATCTCCTTGAATTTTCATTGAATCGTGCTCAAACCTGGTAAACATACTAATTTCATACTGTTCTTTCCAGTGGTGGTAATAGTTTTTCGATATTTGCTCGATTTCTAATAGCTTTGTTATCCGCGAAGTGGACTATTGAGATATTTTATGGATGGATTACTGAATGTGGTCATTCAAGGACATTCAAGTATGCGGTCGTGTTTTAGATTATCATAAACGGAAAGTGATTTAAATTATTCACTTTTCGTCTCCATTCGTTGGTTTTAATTTAAGATCAAATCTTTCAATGTCCTTATTCAGCTTAAAGGGATAATAAAGAGTACTTTGCTTAGTATTTCAAATATTAACAAAAATTCGCAAGGGATGCCGGTTGACTATCGAATTTTCATGTAACGTTATGGAAATGGAGGAAAAAATACAAAACATATGTAAATGTTAATGATCGTTTGGTGAATGGATAATTACCTTTTTAAGAAATATAAAATGGCGCGCGGTTCTCTGTCCTCTGATATAAACACGGTGGGAGTTGAAAAACACAAGAGAAGCAAGCTTGAAACACGAGCGTAGCTAGTGTCGTCAGCCACTCAGAGCGCGCTTTGTATATCAAAATGTTTTATAAATACATATATTTATTATTCATGAAACACCGGCTAGTCTCATTTTTGCCGCAAAACTCGTTTATTTCATGGATGACTTGAGAATACGAATTTTATATTCGTGAAAATAGAACTCGTATCCCGTCACGCACATGTATAATATTTGTCTATATTCCCATTCCTATAGACGGCTAACGAGCTACAAATGTTAAAAGACGCTCACTGCTCGGTCATCGCAGTCATCGAGGAACAAATGGTGATCCATGAATCCTTCCAGAAAGATGCTCCTCCCCAGTCACGTGCCGTGTAAGCTCAGTGTGTATTTTATTCGTTCTATTTTTTTGTTATATTTTGAGTTTTTTTTCGCTCTTTTTTTTTCGTTTCGTGTTTTTGTTTTGTTTTATTTTGTTTTGTTTTGTTTTTTTCGTTCCATTTTTTTCGGTTTTGGTTTTGGTTTTGGCGGTTTTTGTATCAGTTTTTGTTGTTGTTTTGTTTTGTTTTGTTTAACAATGTAACAAAATAACAAATTACAATTCAACTGTAAATGGATTATAGCTTATCTTCAGCTGTTCATCTATACTAATTTTATTCCAATTTCTTTTTTTAAGCCTAAGACAGAATTACGACCTACTGAAACATCGATTAAACGACGCAAGATGTGAACTTTCCGAGTCTGAACGCGAACTGTCAAACACTTCAGAAAAGAGCCGTCAAACAGACCAACTGATAAACACTCTTCGCGCTCAAATCATTGAACTTACAACCCARAAACAGAATTGCATGGAGTATGTAGTGTTATTTGTTAACGTAATTCTATCACTTAACTGCGCCTCCTTTTTTAAATTGGTTTTGATGATCGATGTCTTTGGAAATGTCAGCTAAGCGCGCTGAGATTCATGGGCGTTTTTAAACACTGTTTGCGCTTGCAACCAATAGACTGCTGAGCCTTTTACGTCACTACTGGATTTCCAATGCATTGTGGGATCAATTTGTAGAGAAAACAAAAGAAATCCGCTATGTTTTGTCCCAAACATATCCTACAATGCATTGCGTAAACGGCACATGACTTAAAATCTTCAAAGGTCTATTCAACTTGAACGTTTGTCTCTAAGAATAGGTCACATCTGCCATACTGGATGGCAATAGAATGTAAACAACCTCGAAAACAAAAGGAACGCAGTCTGCCAAACTTGACTTTTCTTTGTTTTGAACATCCCAGTGGGTGTTTTGCCATCCAGTACGACGGATTTAGTATCATGTGACCGTTTTATGCAAAAGCCCTATTTATCTGTTAAACTCTAAGGTGCATTTCATTTATTGGTGTAGAAATGCATTATCTGCTGTATCAATGAGCCCACAATTCTATGGAAAGCGGATATGACGGAATGACGGGCTACAGGAAAAAGTTAGAAATGTAACTTGTTTGTGTCTGTCTTTAGTATTCTGATGAACGATAAAGGCTACACACAAGACGAAGTCAAAGAAATAGTCAATGAAGGGTAAGCTTCAATCCAAACTCCAATCTTCATTCTCTTCGGGCATACGAGGTTGTTGGCCGTATGTTTGGAAAATACCTTGAAATGGAATATGGCAAAAAGAGTCTGAGAATTATTGGATGTTTTAAGTGGCTTTTTGATCCACCAAAAAAGTGCGAGACTGAACACTAATGTTGATTATTTTTGAAATCTTGGCAAACCGTTATTAGTAATATTTGAAACTTTTTCGGAATATTTGTCTGTTCTGATCAGTCTGCGATTGTAAGCAAATGACTGGACTAGGAAAACTCGTTCAATGATCAGAAATGAATACATTCTAATTACCRCAACCTAACATCTATTTCATCCCGACCTGCTCCCAGTCTGGCCTTGTAGCTCAGCTGGTAGAGCATCGGTAGTACAAATTCGAGGTTCGTGGGTTCGAATCCCAGCGAGGTCGGAAATTAGTTTTTCCAAATTTATTTCCAAGGGTCTTTCTCCCTGAATTGCCTCCTTCCAAGCACTATAACTTTCCTTCATTTCTATACAATGATCAGAAAAATGAGACGAAAAAAGGCTGTGTATGTAAAATACTCAGAAGTAATTATTTWCTGATCCATCCAGTGTCAGAAGATTTTTGTGTTAGTAGTAAATCCAGTATTATCTATTATTATAGTATTCGCCAGGGATGTATTTACCAAGTACCAGACATCGACTTAAGCGAAGAGAACTGGTGGTTTGGTAGTATCGATAGGTAAGAAACAAACCCTACTTCTTTATTTCAGAAACATTTTCATTGTGATAGATACGTTTTACTCTATTATCAATGGTATATACGAAAAAAAACTTGTTAAATTTAGTTGTATTGTGCGTTGTGTTTTTCTGTCTAGAAATCAAGCGGGATTTTTACTGAAGGACTGTCCCGATGGTACGTTCTTGATAAGAGACAGTATTCACCACCCAGGGACATATTCCGTCACTCTTTCGTAAGTAATCGGGTTATGCTCGCGATATATTCGTCAATAATCGTTTAAATGTCGTTATAACACTTCCAAAGTAAATATGTGTGGCTTTTTACTAATTAAAAACGATGCAAGTAATTCTTATTTCTTGGAATATTTCGTATCGTTCTTAAAMGTGTTGGTAATCTATCAACCTATCTTTTTCAGGTTCGACTTCATCCCTCGCCATATTCATATTATTCAAGGTGCAAATGGTTGCTATGGTTTCAACGAGGACTATGCGATTTATCGTACTATAAAAGACCTGGTTCAACACTACCACAACAACACACTACAAAAACACAATAGRCATCTCGCCACTAAACTAGTCTATCCTTTGAGATTTTTCAAAAAGAATGTATAGTTGATTGACAAGTCAGTGCGTGACACAAACATTAGAGWATGCCAAAACGTGACATTATTCGTGATTATCACATTGCGTGACATGGAATTTGACACGTGATCATGACAATCAAGATTGCTTTATGAACTTCGGATTTGGTGAGATTGAGCKCACAGGATCCTGGCAGTGCGTGRCATGATCGTGACATCAAGTGATTGAGTGRCATRAATGCTRTAGTGTCATTGCGTGACAAATGTAACGTGATAAGCAATCTAAACCATTCGAGAAATGGCGATACCAAATTAGGTAACCGTTACGCCTGACCGAAGACCTCACACTTTTAGTATCAAAAGTTGTCCAGATAGTGCCATATGTTTATCGAAAGGGATCCCAAACGTTTCGTGAAAATACGCGGGCAGTTTTCTGAAAAACGAGATTTTTTTGTGAAAATTACTTTCATAAAGTACTGTCTGACTAAAGACTCCGTGTAGCTCAGTTCTACCTGGTGGATAAAACAATGGATTCTAATTACCAAGAGAGCAAAAATCTTTTGTTTTGTCATTCAGATGAAGCTGGTTTGRCGTCACATGCGAGAGGTTTCTATAACTTAGTAWCGKTGAATGACTATTTTAGATATTATGATGGAATTGGTCTCTAATGCCAGTCCGTATTATCGTTTACTACAATTTGATTTGCCATTATTCAAAGTAGCTTATTGTCGGAGTAGGTTTACCCATATGATTTCAATGTAGTTCGTATTATAATTCTACTACACAACATGCTCATGAATATCAGGTTGACTGTTAGCTCGTTATGCATTGAGAGAAAGCGTTGCGTGACATTGAGTCGATAGTGTTGCGTTACAGTACTATAAACTATCTTTTTAAATAACTAAATGCATTCAAGTATTTTTTTGTATTATGCTCTTGCAAAGAGAATAGCATTGCAATAATTATGATAACTAAAGCTATAATTAAATGCATAGTCCAGTGTTTTTCCAATGTTTGGTTTTGGTTATTGGTAATTGATCGTTTTCAATCATTCTCATGAGATTCAAAAGATAAAAGACTGGCGGCCATGTTGGAGGAATGAACAATGAATACCATCCTTTGTTGATGGTCCTCCAATATGGCCGCTGTGACGTAACTTAAAAACGAAGAATAGAGTCAACGTATTTAATCCGCGAAATTTTGCTGTCTTATTTCTAMTTTTTTTCTCTATTCATGAGTTGTCATACCCTGGTTAAGTGACCACGAATCAAAGCATTGAGCCGCGGCGTTGAGCACAGATCT